ACGGGTGCCAACAACTTCAAGGGGCCTCTAATGCCGCCTGCCAAAGTTTCAGAGATGCGCAAAACTGCATAGAGGCAGCCCAGACGAGTGCAAATGCTGCGCATACACCTTGCGAAAGCGGGGGCAGTGGCCAAAGCAGCACGAGGCGAGGAAGAGCAACTTCCACTCGCTCTGCGAGTACGAAGCCTGCCGAGCTTGCGCTTAAAAGCACTGAATGCGCAAGTCACTAAAGACGATGCATCGCATATGAACGAGCGAGCGAACGAGCGAACCAACCAACCAGCCAACCAACGAACCAACACCAACCAACCAACCAACCAACCAACCAACCAACCAAACAGCAAGCGGGCGAGCGAACGAACGAAGTAATGAGAGAATGGCTGCATTCATGCAGGCAGGAGTGCATGAATGACTGAGTGAGCGCCTGAGTGACAATGACTCGGTGACTTTCTCTGCACAGAAGTATGGGGGTGAAAGGGCGAGTGTGAGAAAAAGAAAGAAAGAAAGAATTAAAGAGAGACTGAGGCAGTCTGTGTGTTTATGTGCGCGCGCGGCGAACAGGCGAATCCAAACACGGCCGGCTCAACGCCCAGCTGGGACGAGTGCAGGAGCTGGTTGCACCCCTGACGGCCCCAAGGCTTCATCTTGGATTCGGCAACGCCAACAAGCGCAGATGTTGTGCTGGCCCATGTTAACAACCAATAAAACCTTGTGAAGTGTGTCATACATGAGGTCCGAAGAAGTCTGGGGATAATGGGAAATGAAATGGAAACTACTATAATATTGCTGTTATATAGGGGTCATATTAGGATAATGGGAAATAAAATGGAAACTACTATGGTAAGCGCTCGAAATCTAAACCCTAAACCCTAAGCCCTGAAGCATAGTTGAGCAGAGTTTCTCAGCTTGTCAAAAAAAAACGGGAATCTGGTTCTTCTTCTTTTTCGGAATTCTGGGCTTAAAGGGTTTAGGGGTTTAGGGTTTAGGGTTTAGGCCTTCAACCCTCTACCCTGAACCCGGATAAACCCTAAAACCCAAACCCTTAACTCGAAGCCTAAATTGCCCTCTCCCCGTGCCCCCGCACCCCTTATATTGTAGTTTCCATTTGCTTTTCCATTTTCCCCGGACCCTAAAGCCCATTTATCGATGTACCTTTTTATGGCCCTTCTCTGGGGGGCTGGAAAAGTCTAAGGCTTCAGCTTGGGCGATGCTTTCTCCTGGCCACAGAGCAGGGGATGTTCCAAATCTGGCTCCTTCTTCGGACTAGTACAAAAACCAGGACGACTATTACGGGAAAACCCCTTAACGGTTTTATGTAGGGGTATATAGGGGAAGAGAAAAGATAATGGAAACTACTGTAGGGTGTAGGTTTCCGAACGATATATGCCGTCTGGGGATTCAACAAAATGAGACATGTAAAAATCCAGTTATCAAGCCACATTCCATCTTGGCGTTTAACATGGTAGGTAAAGCATCCAATTGAATAGTTGCTTGAAAATACCGCAGGGATACATGGTTTGGGGCTTTGGATTGTGGGTTCAGAGTTCAAGGTTTAGAGCTCAGGGCTCAGGGAGTAGAGGGTGTTTGTGTTTGGGGTTTACGATGCGCGGCTTAGAGATCAGGGTTAAGGATTTTAGGGTTCAGGGTTTTGGGCTCTGGGCAAACAGGGCCATACTCGGAATGGATTTATGAGGATTAGGAAGCCTAAGCCCTAAACCCTAAACCTTAAACCTTACTTACCCCCAAGCTCATACTTGCCTCATTTCTTGTTTACGGGATCACCTCTCCTTGATCCTGACCACGCAATATGGGTGTTTCCCAAAATTGGGGATACCATTTTAGGGGTCTCCATCATAAAGAGTAGAATATATTGGGGTCTATATTGGGGTCCCCATCTTTTTGGAAACTACCATATGTCTCCGAAATGTAAGGACTCTTAAGTCTTATCAGGGATATCCAAGATGAAAATTAAGTGGCAGGGAATTGTACTCATTTTCTAGCTACAGGCTTGCAATCCCCAAGCCACATACAAACCCTAAACCCTAAGCC